GATCCCTACCCACCCGGCGCACCGCCGCCGGGCTGCCGATCTGCCCAACACCCCGACCTCCCACCCTCCACCCGCCGTCCCGCAACTACCTGCGCGGAGGCGCCCCAACCCACCCCTTCCGGCGCCGGCCCCGGCCACGACCCTGGCTCCGGTGAAGCGCGCCGCGGTAGACCAGGATCCCGCACCACAGCCATCTCCCCCCTCCCCTGGTTCGACCGCGGTGGCCATCTCCCCCTGCTTCAATCACTGCGCCGCCCCACCCCTGGGATACATCCGCCGCCGTCCCTGGATCCGCCCGCTGCGATGACCGCGCTGCCACCCCGCTGTCCTCCGGCACCACCAACGTGCCACAGGCGCATTGGATCCCCGCCACCGTGCCCACCCACGCACCGTGAGATCCCCGCCCCGCCGCGTGGCTGACATCCTCCAACCGCCGCCATGGAGCTCCTCCCCCATCGCCCAAGCCCCGTCCGCCTGCCACCGCGGGGCCGAGTGCCTCCCGTCCCTAATACGGTGCAGTTCATAGTTGCCATGTTTCCGGTACGGTGGGAACGAGGAACGGGAATGGGGGACGAGAGTCGGGGGCTGGAAAAAATAAGGTACAGTGGGGGTATACATCTCTAGAACGATTTTTCTAAAGCGGAAACGCGATCCAATCAATTCCGGTACGATGAATCCGGTACGGTACCATGAAACGAGGAACGTGAATCTTTACGGATGCGGGGAGCAACTGGTTGGGAGGGACCGAGGGAGTACTTATACATGGAACTGGCTGGGCTGGGAGCAACTGGCTGCATCGTCGATTCATGAAGACTAAAATACATCATCTCCTTCCCAATGGAAAATTTATTAGCAGCCTTGGAGTAATTGGAGAGCAGAACGAGGAGTTATTTAGGGGAGTGGAAAAGAACGGGGCAGAGAGTAAAACGAGGAGTTCGTGATTGATATGGCTAACCTTTTGCTTACTCGATCGATTCAAGAACCAAGACTGTCGAGTCGCCGAACCTGAATCGACGATCCAACTGCGGAAACGCCGAATCCGCATCGAATCTTACCGAATCGACCCTCGTTCCCGAATCTGATTCCGGGTCGATGAATCCGGATCGAGGGACGGCCCACCGTTCCTCGTTTCCGGCTACTATGGTGCAGTTCCCCACCCTACTTCTTCCCCATATGAAGGAGCTGAACTTCATGTGCCCACGGCGTTGGCCGTCCCTTACCCGTTCAAATACGTTGGGGTTGGAATTTTTCCTCTCCTCCTCTACTCTGTTCAAGTTCAAGATCATTGGGTGAGCATAATTTCCTCCCCTGTTCAAGCGAGCACATGGCACCAGTACCGCTGACCTTTGATCGACCGTCTATTACTTGCTCTCTTTGCAAAGGCGCTATGGCTGCTGGTTCTCTTCAACAGTCTGTTCGACCGGGAGAATGGGAGAGAGAGGCAACGACAGCTGCTCCTGGGTTCTCGCATGCGGACGCAGTTCTGTTGCTGTTGATGCACGCACTCTCTCTTGCTTGTGGTGCTACCCCGTGCTATTGTTCCCTGGTGTTACTGTTGCTTCCACCTTCCTCTCAATATTTTGCTACTGGTGCTGCTAGTACAAGCTGACACTTTATTTTTTACGTTCCTCTCTCTCTCTCTCATTATGTGCACAAGAAAAATAGATATGATTCTGATTGGATTTCTGTAGAAATATACCCCCTTTTAATTATGTTCTAATTTGATACACAGAAACATCGGTGCAGGACTTTGTGCGATTTTTGTATTGAGTTTGTATGAGTTTGGTTAGTAGTTTGTGCGAGGCACGAGAAGTTGCATGTGGGGATTTCCTCCTGCTCACGGCCGACGGAGTCGTTCTCCGCCGCCGTCCTCCGGGGCGACCCTGTCGGACACCGCTTAACCAATTGACAGCTTTGTTCATCTTCCCCATGCCCGGCATCGCGCGACACCGCTTCTTGGACTTCAAAAATTATAGACAACAATTTGTGTTTATAGAAGAACGATTTTTTTTCTAAAAAAACAAGGACGTTCAAATGTAAAAAGGCGAGCAATTCGATGTTAATAAAAGAATCAGATTTTCCTTGTGTCTAAATAACAAGAATAAATTATTTGGATTTTTCCTGTTTGAAAACTACAAAATCATGATATTCAATTTGGAAAAACATAAAAAAGAGTTCAATGATTATAAAAACCTTGTATTGCCTTGTTTCTAAAAAATAACAAAGAAGTTCAAACTAAAACTATAGAGCAGATCAAAAGTTTATACAAAAAGCACATTCCCATTTCTAAAAAACAAAGAAGTTCAAATTAAATTAATGGAGTAGTTCAAGTGTTTGTTATAAAACTCGGATTTTCACCATTACTAGAGAATAAAAATCAAGAACTCCAATTTAAAGCAACGGAGTTGTCCGATGTTTACAAAAATACCCGTATTTTCCCCGTCACTAAAGAATAAAAACCAAGAAGTTTGAACGAAAATAGGAGAGCCGTTCAATGTTTATAAAAGGGCTTAGATTTCCATGTTAAAAAGAAAAAGGGGAGCTTCAAATTAAGATAACACAAGCGCAAAAAGAGGAAGTTCAAGAACAACAAACGATAAGTTCAAAAAAAATGGAATGCTAACTAGTACATACATGATCAAATTTTGTCCATGATATCTAAAATACAAATGGAGAAGTTAAAAGAAAATTGAGCAAGAAGTTCAAATAAAAAAGTAGTTAAAATGTTTGTAGAAAAATAGTTTTCCTTCGTTTTAAAAATAAATCTGAGAAGGTCAACTAAAAACTTGGTACATTTAAAAATCAAGACACAAGTAGAAGTTCTAGTTTATAAAACGGAGCGGTTCGACGTTTATAAAAAGGTTTTCACATTACTAGCCAATAAAGCTAAGAAGTTCAAATAAAAAATGAATAAGCTCGATATCTATGAAAACTCAAAAATAAAAAACAAGAAAAGAAGTTCAAAAGGTATTCAAAAACTTAGAAGTTGAAGTTTTAACTCTAGAAGTCAAATTTAAATACTGAGCAATTCATTGTTTACTACAACACTTAGATTCCCCCTTACTAGAAATAACTAACATATTTAAATTTAAAAAATAGAGTAGATGAAAATCTACAAAGAATTGAATTTTCCTCGTTTCTTAAAAACCTAGGGGTTTAAATTGAAATAACAGAGAAGTTCATACCAAAATAACGAACTGGTTTGATGTTTATTAAAAACTAGGATGTTAGCGTTATTAAAAAACTTAGATATCCCTTGTTATTAAAGAATCAACCATGAAGTTTAAAAATGAAAAACTGTAAAATTTGATGTTTATTTACAATGTCAGAAACAATCCTTCTTGTTTATATGCAAAATTAAAGTATGAAGTTCAATATAAGAAAAGATTGCACGATGTTTACGTAAAAGTCATTTTTTCTAAGAATAAAACTAAGAAGTTCAAATTAAAAAATGGCAAAGTTCACAGATTATGAAAATCCTAGGATTTAAATGCTCAATTTTGATGAGTGCCTTAGGAGTCGGGGCAAAAAAAGAGGAGAGAGCATTTCAAAGTGATAGCAGCGAGAAGTTCACGTACTACATGATGTGTGTTTCATATGAGAAAAAGGAATAAAAAGGCAAAGTCAGATTCTTTTTTTCTTGCTAGAAGTTCAAGTCCTCAGTCGAAGAAAGTTCAAAAATTCTTGTGGGAGAGGTTCACAGTGTATTTACATGCTAAAACACAAAATATATTGTTTTAGTGTTTTAAAATAATTCTCCCAATCGATTAAAAATTTGAAAATAAAATGCTCTCTGTGAAAAAAAAGTTTCTCCTATTCAACAACTTTCCAAGGATATATTGTATGCTCTATTTCAAAATAAACGGTTAAAAATCAGTGTACGTTTGCTCAAAACAAAAGTTTAACCGTATTAGCAAAAGCTGCGTCTTTCAACAGGTTTCTAAAAAGGTATATCATTTGTGTAACACCGATGAATGAGTGAGAAATTACAAACAAAAATACATGACAGAAGTTCAAAATGAAAACAATGAGCAGTATGATGTTGCTAGAAGTGCTCGGCCCGAGAAAAGTTCAAAAATTCTTATGAGAGAGGTTGAACAAAAATATGTGACAAAAGTTCAAGGTGAAAACAACGGGAAATTTAACTACTACACAGAATGCGTTACGAGATAAAGAATATAAGAATAGAAAACTAAAACCTTAAAAGGTTTGTTGCAAGAAGTTCACGTGCTCCTCGTAGCATAGTTCAAAATTCATGTGCGAGACGTCTGTCGTTCGTTTACATGTTGAAAAAAGGCAAAAAAAAAGACAACGTTGTTTTGCCATTTTAAAAACTGCTCTCAAACGGCAACGAATTTGTAACACCTGTCTACATGAAAAACTTGTTGCTATTCATAAGCCTTCCAACGGTATATTATGTGCTACATTTCGATGAAAGGTTTAAAATTTCATGTATACCGTTTAAAACACGTTTTTGTGTATTCAAAAAAATTCTTTTGAACCATCACGAGTATGAAAAATTGATCAACACGGGAAAGTTTCATGTTTTCAACAGCTTTCCATTGGTATATTATTTGCTCAATTTCGGTAAGTGGTTTGAGAGTTACGGGTAAAAAATAACACATGAAAACAGAGTGAAGTTCAAAAACAACTGCTCCAGAAGTTCAACCTCTTCATGAAGTGCATTTTCGGAGACTCTGTTTTTACGATGAAGTCAGAAGACATGATCTCAGAAGTTCAGACTGATAGCTGCCAGAAGTTTACGTACTATACAGTGTGCATTTGTATTAAAAAGAATGAAAATGCAAAGTCTAAAGTTTTGTTGCTAGAAGTTCAAGTGCTCGGCCCGAGAAAGTTTAAAAATTGTTGTGAGAGAGGTTGAACAAAAATACGTGACAGAAGTTCAAGGTAAAAACAATGAGAAGTTCAAGTAATGCAAGGAATGCATTTCAGGTGAGAATAAAAGTATAGAAAAAATAAAAGCTTAAAAGGTTTGTTGAAAGAAGTTCAAGTGCTCGGCCCGGGGAAAAATTCTTGCGAGAGAGGTTCACCTTGTATTTCCATGTTTGATTTTTTTCGTATAAAAATCGAATACAATTCTTTACTCAAAATATAAAAAAGGTGAAGTTCAAATTGAAATAACAAAGAAGTTCAGAGTTTATTAAAACCTTGGATTTACCTGTTCAAAAAATAAAAAACACAACGCCATTTTTTGCACTTTTAAAAACAACTCATAAACGAAAAATGGTTGCTGGAAGTTCAAATGCTCGGCGAGGAAAAGTTCAAAAAATTCTTGTGAGAGAGGTTCATCGTGTATTTAGATGTCCAAAATACATAAAAAAAAGTTCTTTTTTGTGTTTTAAAATAATTCTCTCAAACCACAAAGAAGTTCAAAGTGATAACAACCGAAAGTTCACGTACTATATGGTGTGTATTTCATATAAGAACAAAATACAAATAAAGTGAAACAGAGTGAAGTTCAAACAGATATTCCCGAGAAGTTCAACTACTTCACGCAATGCAAAAAACAACACGTCAAAAACAGAGTGAGGTTCGAACAAACATGCCTGAGAAGTTCAGCTACTTCACGCAGTGCGTTTCCATTCGCAATGAAGGCAGAAATCATGATCTCGTCATTTCTTTAATTTACTTCAAAACAACAGGAATATCATTTGTGTAAGTTCAAGTCCTCGGTCGGAGAAAGTTAAAAAATATATTGTGATAGAGGTTTGTACAAAAAGAATATCATTTGTGTAACACTGACAAAATGGATGAGAAAATTTAAAATGAAAATACGTCACAAAAGTTCAACATGAAAACAACACGAAGTTTGACTACTATAGTGAATGAATTTGAGATGAAAAACTTTTAAAATCATCGCGAGTATGAAAAAACGATCAACACGGGAAAGTTGTGTGCTTACAACAGCTTTCCACCGCTGTATCACTTGCTCAATTCCGGTGAGTGGATGGAGAGTTATGAGCAGTGGATGGAGACCTACAAGAAAAAAAAATCACGTGAAAAATAGAGTGAAGTTCAGGTACACGCGCTGAGAAGTTTAGGTTCTTCACGCGGTGCATTTTCGAAAAATCTGTTCCGCGATAAAGGTAGAACACATGATCCCGCCGTTTTCGAAATTACTTGAAAACGGGTAGGAATCAGAGAAAACCATCAACATTAAAAAGTTTCGCATTTTCCGTAGCTTTTCAGCGGTATATTATTTGCCCCATTCCGATAAAGTTTGTAGAAATTACAGCAAAAATACGTTTTTTGCCATTTTCAAAACTGACTTA